GTTATCAGACATCTGTCATCAGACGTCTGACATCATACCTCTGTCATCAGACGTCTGTTATCAGACATCTGTCATCAGACGTCTGACATCAGAAATCTGTCATCAGACGTCTGACATCAGACATCTATCATCAGACGTCTGCTATCAGACATCTGTCATCAGGCATCAGACATCTTACTTCTGACATCAGATATCAGACATCATACCTCTGACATCAGACGTCTGACAGACGTCTGATATTAGACATCAGACTCAGACATTAGACGTCTGACATTAGACATTATACATTAAATATCAGACGTGTGACATTCGACAACACACACCCGACATAGAACATCAGACGTCTGACCTCAGACATAAGACATCAGGTGTGTCTTATCACAAGTCAGACATTAGACAACAAACAACAGACATCATACATCGTACATCGTACATCATACATTAGATGTCAGACATATGACTTCAGACATCTTACATCAGACATGGGACATCTGAAATCAGACGTCTGTCATCAGATGTCTGACATCAGACATCACACATTCGACGTCTGACATCAGATGTCTGATGTCTGCTGTCAGACATCTGATGTTCCATATTTTGTCCGATTTTTCTTCCGATGTATTTGTCCGATGTTTTTGTTATATTCGATGTCCTGCCGAGTATCTGTACGTTTTACCATGTGTTACCACGTTGCTTTTCCCATGTCTTACTGGTGTACCGCGTAATGTCTTGAATGTTCGTGTATTACCATGTAAATGTATCGCCTCGTTTTACCACATTTTACCCATCACGTAACGGCTACAAGGAGTGTTTATGCCGTGTTGCATTGTTTTGTCCAATTTTTTGTCCGACGCTTTGTATACAGCTATTTCGAGAAAGGTTGTCGGAAAAAATGTGCATGCGACAATCCCGAAAGGTTACATGGGATATCATCAATACACTGCTCCTGACACAGTAGCCGTCGAACCTACTTTTGTTGCCTTCCTTTAGCACTCGTAAACATGCGTCCATGGCCTCTCGTGCCATTCTTTCAAATTTCTTTGAACAACAGTGAATTCAAAACCACTCACAATACCTTTCGGAATTGTCGCGTGCACTTTCTCGAAATAGCTGTATATTAATTTGTCCGATTTTTTTTATGTTCGATGTCCTGCAAAGCATCTATACGTAATACCATGTGCTACCACGATGATTTTTTATGTTTTACGGCTGTACCACGTAATTTCCTTAATTTTCGTGTATTACCATGTACATGTATCGCAATGGATTACCACATCTTAACCACCACGTAACGGCTTCAAGGCGCGTTTATACCGTTTTACCACCTAACGGCTGCAAGGTGTGTGTATACCGTGTGGCATTGTTTTGTATTTGATGTATTTTGCTGTATCGTAATGTATTACTATGTATCGTCACTATTAACATTTATTACCACCTTTGTTATGTACTGTCATGTTGTACCTTTACCTTGTACTCTGATGTAAAATGTCTGTTTATAAGTCCGATGTCGCTCTCCCTCCTACCTCAACCCCTTGCTGTTTATTTCTGCTCGCATCTCTTTGAACCGTCCCCAATGCCTGAACAGTCTAGGTTGAGGGGGCAGTCGTAATTCAACAAAAATAAGTACCAAGTAATTTTAGTCTGAGACTTTGATAAACAATTACGAGGTTTTTAGCATAAATTTGTTACAGTTACAGTTTAGAAATTAAAAAACGTTTTCTGTTTATAAACTTAAAAAATGTTTGCTTTAGTCGTTACTTAGCTTCTAAAAAACAAGTGTCCATGACGTTCTTTTTCTGACCATGAGAGCCTGCCTAATTCGGACCGGCTATGGCACGCCCCATTTGTGTCCGTATCATCGGGGCGTTTCTGATTTTCACGCTTCGTCCACACACGTAAATGGCGTTTTCAAAAACGGTCCTCTAAATGAGACTTTTGAAAACTGCGGCTGATCATTGGAGGAATAGCGGTCTTCGATTACAATGACGTCATACATCATAAGCGCATGCCCTTTAAGAGATGCTTTCATATTTGCATTGTTTTACGGTTTACTGATAACAGAGGTACATTGATTGGGGCCACCATATCATTGGAAAACTTAAGGGAAAAGGGACAGGAAAGGGGGAGGGGGAGGGGGAGGGGTGCTTTTAGGGTTCCATTTTGACCTGTCAATCTCCTCCCTGGAATAATTTTTGACTCGTTATCTCTTGGTAAGTTTCAACGTCAAAATCATTCGCACGTACTGCAAACTAATGTCTGCTTTGCAGGCTCCATATGTGTAAGCGAGTGTTTACCTGCAGGGGCGCAGGCAGCCATTTGCTCCTTTTATAAAGTTCTTCGCGTGTGAAGATGGACGTTTGTCTCGGAGACGATCTTCAGAGGTTCTTTCTATCTAAAGCAGACGGATGGAACGATCCAAACTCATTCAAACGAACTTAACTGAGACAGACGTTGAACTTTTCATAAACTTAACTCACGAAGTTTGGTTCATTTCAAGAAATGCTCGGCGTTTGGCGCAGGCCTAACACGTTCTATCCTTCTGCTCCAGACGGACAGGACGGCTAAAGATCGTCTCCTGGACAAACGTTGATTTTCACATGCCACGAACTAAACTAATATATTAAAATTGCATATGATAATGTATATTTTTTAGCCTAGTTCGAGGGAAAATTTATTGCTCAACAAAAATTACTTTTTGATCTGATTCAGTTTTTTTGATCGGATCGAAGCGTCCTTAGCTCGACGTCTGACGCAACAGACGGTCTTTTATTAT